TTGCAGGCGATGGCCTCCTGTGCGGGGACACCGCGAATACCTGCAGAGACGTGGCAGGTGGAGAGCCCCGCCACTTGGCATATGAACGGGACTTGAAGCGCATGGCCAGGCTGCAATCTCATTGTCCCGAAGTGCCGAGCAGCTCCAGCTGAGGCCTCGGACGCTAGGATCCCAAGAAGTTTCGGATACGGATCTGATGGGCGGCAATGCTGCAGCATTTCGCTAGAGTAGGTAACATGTAATTTTTAGTGTAGAAGCGTATGTGGTATATATCTAGATATAGATCTTTGGGGTGGGGGGTTAGTTGTGCGCCTGTTCCACTTCTTGGGTTGTTACGCGCCTGCGTCGGATACAGTGGGGGGTATGTTCAGAAAAAGGTCTGCGATGACATGTTGAGATGGCTTAGTCACGCAGCTGCGACATGTGAGACTTGCAATGCTTGGCTTTGCTGCTCCGATGCTCACGATCTCAGTAATTAATCCCAGCGCACGGCATGATCAAATCATTTATGTTGGGACAGTGGAGTAGATGTGGTAACTCCTCAGAAGGTGCGGCACTCGCTGCCAGATAATGGTGCAAAGCAAAGCTTTATGGTTGTGCTGGATTTCACTGGATTTCAGATCTAGACAAGACGTGCTTGGTAGGATCTTGAGTATTCAAGCCTAGATATTCTAACAGTGGGAAGCGTGAGATCACCAACTTGAAGCTTGGTCTTGGAACGTTGAAGTTAGATTCCCTAAGCCTCTGACCTGATGCTGAGCAAGTGTGCCCAGCCTCGTGCCTGTGCAGGTGGAGGGACGAGGTAAGCTTAGGTCGTAATTGCGTACTGCATCCAAGCTCGAATACGAAGTTGCTTTGCAGGCGGCATGGAAATTAATCGGGGGCTTCTGTGGTCGCATGCTCGAGTGTAAGCTCCGCACGAACTAAAGCCACGAGCCTATCAAGACTTGCGAAAGCTGCACATGCCAAGAAGAATCGCTCTATTCACCTTTCGCGCCCTCGCAGGCTGAAAGACCTGCCAAGAGTCACCAGAAGCAAGCAAAGGAGAAAAACAACTAAAGAAGGCAACAACCGCCTCAGGTTCCACCCAGTTCGGTGCTTCAACGTGAGAAATCCCAAGCCCAAACCCACAGACCCCTAGAATTCCTTGTGGATGGTCTTGATGCGAGAAATGACCTAGACTCCTTAAAGGGATCACATAGTCTAAGCCCTTTCCACCTTACTGGTGGTTGGAAGGGAATTTGATTCCTACATAATCCCTTTACAATATTTTCCCTGATTCCCTGCTAACCCTGAAGCCTAAACCTTACACTTTCTTCCCTTTGTCCCTACTTACCACCTTTTGGCGCCAAGGTTCAGTACCCTAAAGCCTGAACCCTAAACCCTAGATCCTGTACCCGCACTGTTCCAGTGCCAAGGTTCAATGCCCAAAGTTGGTTGGAGTGGAGCATGGCTTGGCGGCCTCTGGCGTTGGAGGCCGCCCTGCAGAGACAGGGTTTAGAAATTAGGTGCAGGGTTTGGGATTGCGAGTGCTTTTTTTACACGAAAATCCCTATGAACCCCTTCCCTGCTGAGGCCTATACACTCCAGGAATGACAGTGGTTAAGGGCTTTAAGTGGTGCAACACTTCTTCCATCAACAGTACCTATACATGCAATTCCGATGTTCTTTTCCATGTGATTGTCCATCATTGGGGTAATGTCCCTATAGCCTACATACATAGGTCCCAATACTTCTCCACACAATTGGTCCCCTACTGGGGCTAGATCACTCTATCATAGGGGCTTCATCTGTGAGGATTCGGATAGTCGGATAGTGATGTCGTGCGGTAAAGGCAGTGGTAGTAGAGGCAGTGCTGCAGCGACACAAGTGGCTGTGAGCAGCAGCAAGACCAATCAGGCAAAGTGCACGTTTTCCCAAAACACAGGGCCCCGAGGTAGATTCCGACATACTACAATGCTTCTTCTAGGGACTTCCGGAAGCCACCAAGTTGGTGCACTTCACTATTCCTTTCTCAGGTGTTGGGAGACTTCGAACAAAGCATGACCGACTGCCCGGAGGCCGCAGCCTTGATGGGATAGGAACAGCGTTACAACACCTTATAGTAAAACAGCAGTAAGACCAGTAAAATGAACAGTTACAGTAGGTTTCTGATTGCGGCTCATACAGGCGCCATCATGTTGTCATTATGATCCTCATGCTGGCGATTGTGACATTTTTGCCATGCTTGCTATGTGTGTGTGTGTGTGCACCTATATCTCAGGGCTCAGTGGCAGCTTTCGCTCACAGCCTTCTCGGGGTGGATGAGGCGGACTCTGTGTTCCTGCCACCAGCCAACAACCGGACACAGATTTCAACCCCAAAAACCCTAAGCTTTGTGTGCACCTTGTGGTCGACGAAGGAGGAAACCTCCCGCTGCTCCCAAGGGAGAGAAATTCCGAAGGGAGAGAAATCTTTCTGGGTTTCCATGTCCTGATGCAAGGTGGATGGCCACGCAGCTGTGCTTGAGCGGGACCCTTAGATGATCCCGTAAAGATGCTAAGCTACTTCTTCCCACCATGCATCCCAGAACTGCTTCTTGTCCCTTTAGTCTTGTACACTTCACTTTGCTGTTCCAATGCCTCCCCCGGCAGGATCGTCAAGATGATGCATCACAAGCTGAGCGACCGTGAGCACTTGCCTGAACATTCCAAAGCAGGCTCTTGCGTTGATTATCAATATCCATGGTTGTCAGAGCAATTTTCTGATCGTTTCCGTGCTGCTGAATTGGAGTCGGTCCATTTCACATCAGATTTGCTCTTCAGCTTGGTCAAAGTGCTCCTGACAAACCAGAACTTCGGGATCCTCCACAGTACTTTTCTTCCGAACAGGGAATTTCCAAGGATGTGTGGGTCCCGTACATGCTGTGAAAACAGGTCAAGATCATACAGTCAGCATCAGTATCGCGACTACTATACTTGATCTTATCATTACTATCAATATTGTTGTTGGTGTTGTTGTTGTTGTTGCTGCTGCTGCTGCTGCTACTGCTACTACTACTACCACTACTACTACCACTACTACTACTACTACTACTACTACTACTACACTTACAAGTACTATTGCCAGAAAAGCAGCCAATGTGTTTCATGCCCATCCCCGACCGAGGCCTCCGGCGTTTGTTCTGGAGTTCGGCCCTTACTACTCTTCGCATTAAGAAGATTCTGCATGAGCTGAAGTACCCTCAGCTTTGGGAAGCAGCGAAGCACGAGAGTTTCGTATCAGAAGGGTTCTCAGTATCAGCAATATGAGCTACTCGTATTGTCTAAACTCCTTCAAGGGTGGTTATACAGGGGATTCTATGGGGGAGTACTGTAGGGGATATTAAGGGGGATACTAGGAGTTTAGACTACGGCTCATATGTTTACTTTGTTTTGGCAGCTGACTCCAAGCCGGTCACAGGCCAACGGAATGGCAGCAGCAATGGCTGCTGGCAGTCTCTTCAATGCAGCTCTCCCAGGAACTTGAGAAGCATCAGCCACCAGAAAATTTCGATCGAGATAGCTGCTGTAGCATGATGCTTTGGACTTTGGGTTTGAATCCTGTGTCTGATGGAATTCCTGCCTGCTTTCAGCAAACCTCGCGCTAATGTGTCTCCTCATGTCAGAATTTAGGTCCCCCAAAATTATCCTACCAAATACGGACCCGCGGTAGAGGGACTCCGAGAAGAAGGAACGGCAATGTTGAGACGCTCCCTGTGTGTGTGTGTGTGCACATCCGAGGCTCCGTTTCATGTATCTGAAGCCGCCGCCTAAGTTGATGAAGCTGGGTCGTCAGCAAGGGTCGCATTTGGTGGATGAGGTGGGTGAACATGCCCCAAGATAACGATTTGCCAGACAAGATGGACCAGGCTCTAATTGAGGGTGGCAAGCTGTGGACCTGCAACGCATGCTTGCAGGAGGCGTTCCTGAGTCCGATGGCTTTGCGACCGCCAGATACTTGGTGGATCTTGATAGGACGATACCTGCTACCTGGACATTCCAGCAGTCTGCGTAGAGTGTGGATGTGCAGTCGCGGATGACCCGCGGTAGACAGATCTCTTACCTTTTTCGTCTTCTTGTGATGAGGCATCATGACTTCCTGTTCAGGACGGGTGCACTTGCCATGGGAAGGGTTTCTGTATTCCTGCTTATGTTTCTGCCTTAGTTATGAGAAATGATAGTCTGGTGCAATGTGATGGAGCAGTACTACTGGTGTCCATTGTGTCGCATGGCGCATTAGATTCATTGGAAGTACTGCACCCTTGCTATACTATTTGGGAGAATGGGTAGGAGCTTTGTTGACAAGTTCGTGGCCAGCGGCGTGCGCCCCCCTCCGATTTGGCGCTTGACTTCGAGAGCTTGTGTCTCATCAAGTGTCATTCTTGCAGTCTGTCGACTTTCCCACCTTCGAACAGGCATTTATCGACTTGATCGCACCTACCAAATCAGGATGATTGAGAAGTTTCCTCTCATGCAGTGATTCTGCGCTTAAGACATTGTTGCTTCTTGAATGTCCTTCGAAAAACTTGCTGGTTCAGGCTTATACTTGGAATCAGTGCCTAAAGACTTAAATGGTGCTGCAAAGTCATTCCGCTCATGCTAAGATGCGGGACTCTTTTTTGAAGATCCCACCGCCTTCTCCTGAGCAAGCACAGCCACTGAAGCCTGTGCCGGCATAGCCTCCTTGGGCCAAAGCTGTGATGCCCCATCATGTGGAGCCATCATGTGGACAGTCCTCTTCAAGAAAACCTGGCTCCTGGGGTGGAGAAAGCAAACTGTTATCATAACAGTTACAATAACTGGTGGATATAGTAATTAATATGGTTTCCCCAATATAGTACCCAAATTAAGTTTCTTAACAGCAACCCAGTCTTTCTTAGTGCTGCATTTCAGCAAAACTTGCTTGACGTTGCATACGTTGCGGGCAGTCTTGCCATGGCTTCAAAATCTGCCGGCGTTGTTGGCATTGTCGGTGGTGGTATGGCCGGAGTTGCAGCCGCACGGGTTTTGAGCCGGAGAGGACCTGAACTCTTTATAATGGAGAATCAAATGGAAAATAAAATGGAAAATGAAATGGAAACTGTCATATATAGGGTTATGTAGGGGATTATTGGGGTCATAGTCTAAACTCCTAGTATCCCCCTTAATAAGCCCTATAGTGGTCCCCTATATGATCCCCTATATAACCCCCCTTTTAAGGAGTTTAGACTATGGCTCATATAAACCCTAAGCCCTAAACCCTGGATCAGCCTTCAGACTTTTACCGAGGGGCTTGTCTCGAGGGTGTGCCGAACTTCTTCATCCTCTGTGCTGCGTGACAACCCTAACCTTTAGGGTTTAGGGTTTAGGGCTTTAGGGTTTTAGGGTTTAGGTTTTAGGGTTTAGGGTTAGTGCATAACATTAATACCGATATGAATACATATATCTATGTTTACATATAGATATATCTATACAGCCAGGGATACCCCAAACCCTAAACCTTCTATGTAAGGATGCCTTTAGTTTAGGGATGAAGTTTTGGCAGTTCAAAGCTTAAGGCTTGACAAACCCAAAATATCAGGTAACATTTGATCTTCCATGTTCTTGTCCATCTGATGCTCCNNTAACTAAACCCTAAAACCTAAGACCTACATACCCTCAGTGTCTCTAGTGGTCTTTTGCGTTGTTTCCATCGACGACTCGGAGGTTGCACCCTTCGGGTTTGTTCCCTAAACCCTAAGCCCCGGAATACCCTAATCATGGGGCCTACCCTAATGAACGTGGTTAAGGGGTCAGGGTTATGTGGCAGGAACCCATTCTAGAAGCAGTGATGTATGATATGCAACTGGGCTTCCAGGGAAAGACAGCCCTGACTTTAGGATCCGAGCCCCGTGTAAAGCTACCCATGTAGTAGGCCACTGGGTTACAGGTAGGAGAAATTCATGTAGTGACTTTGGGACGGGAGTCCTTTACAGAAGCAGAGATATGAGGGTTTCCCAAAATTA